ATCGGGCCTGGACTTTAATACGATTAAGCTCTGAGAGCCCAGTATAGATACTTGAGTCCAGTTTAATCCGTTATTGCAATTCGGGTTTTCCCTCATCTTCAAATTCGAACTGAGTCCCATTTTCGTAAATATTTGTTGATCCATGCCCCATTTCCTAACTCAACGCACCACAAAACCCCTATATAAAACCTCCTTTCAATGTGACGCCCTTCACTCCACTCCCCATTCAAATTGAACTTACTAGCAAAACCCTCCTCCGCCATTCATTTTCCCCAAATTCACAGATTTACATTCTCGCTTTTCTACCCATATATACAGGCTCAAGATGTCACTGAGGCCCAACGCCAAGGTGGAGGTCCGCCGCAACAGGTACAAGGTGGCGGTCGATGCGGAGGAGGGACGGCGGAGGAGAGAGGACAACATGGTGGAGATACGCAAGAACCGGAGAGAGGAAAGCCTACAGAAGAAGCGTCGTGAAGGACTCCAAGGAAACCAGCAGTTCCCTATTCCTGTCGAAGCCACCACTGGCATCGATAAAAAGGTATATCGGTTCAAAACTACTTTGAAATTGATGATTTGTCGTCGATTTAAATTTTATGGATTCATTTTTGTTATATTTTTTGTGATCCGATTATTGGAATTGAATGGTTAATAAATTTTATGGGTGGTCAATGGATGCTAGGGTTTTGCAGTTTCATTGGGTACTTTATTGTAACTTTCATGGTTTATAGGATTTATGTTGCTCTTCATTTCTTTTAATGGTTTCTAATCTCAATTTGTGTGCATCGATGATTTTAATTTGTTGAGTAATTTGTTTGATGCTTGAAATGGAAATTTTATTATAAAATGAGGTAAACGTATTTTCCAGAGACACAAGACTGAGCTTCTGGTGTTGATGTATTTTGTGAGTGTAGGTGCAGTTAGAAAATTTGCCGGGAATGGTTGCCGCTGTCTGGACAGATGATTCTAGTAGACAGCTAGAGGCGACTACCCAATTTCGAAAATTGCTTTCTATAGGTTACCATTGGGTCTTCCAGAACTTGTTATAATTCAACTTTTCTTTTCCTGTCGTCTTAGTTATTGAAATTCATATTGTTCTGCAATTAATGCTCTATGCCAGAACGGAGTCCTCCAATCCAGGAGGTCATTCAAGCTGGTGTTGTTCCTCGCTTAGTTGAATTTCTCACGAGGGAAGATGTTCCACAGCTTCAGGTCTAATAATACCATCTTATTCGTCACTAATGTATTTTTTGCCAGCTCATTAGGGTTCTCCAATACTTACTGACCTCTTGTTTGTTTAAAATTTCTCTAGTTTGAAGCAGCTTGGGCCCTCACAAATATTGCTTCTGGGACATCTGAGCACACTAAGGTGGTTATTGATCATGGAGCTGTCCCAATTTTTGTGAAACTTCTTGGTTCTGCAAGTGACGATGTCCGAGAACAGGTATATATGTTATAGACTTAGTTGTAGCCTCATAGTTCTGTTCTTCTGTCATTTTGTTTGGATTTTGTTAATATGTTGTGTCATATATTGTTGAATTTTACATGGAGTCACTAGATTTTCTCTTCTGCTTTGGTTGTTTAGGCTGTATGGGCCTTAGGAAATGTAGCTGGTGATTCCCCTAAATGTCGAGATCTTGTGCTTGGGCATGGAGCCTTGGCTCCTTTGCTAGGTCAGCTGAATGAACATACAAAGTTATCTATGCTCAGGAATGCCACCTGGACCCTTTCGAATTTCTGCAGAGGCAAACCACAGCCTGCTTTTGAACAGGCAAGTATCTTATGTCTTTAATGGTTATCTGTTCTTACATATATATGGAAATTCTTCATATTTACAAATGCTAGGTCGAGCATTTATTATATTTTTGAGATATCATAGTATTCAAACTTGTTCTAGCCGCTTTTACACATTGTAATCGTATCACAATCTATTAAATTTGAGTAACGGAATGATTGGGCGTAAAGCATCTGTTGGTGGCTTTTTAAGTCCGCCATCAAATCCATGATATGTAGCACCATTGGTGTTTAGCACCTGTCTAGGTGGTAGTGGCACCATTGGTGTTTAGCACCTGTCTAGGTGGTAGTGTGGCCACTACCATAAGATTATTCATTAAATTTATGCGTTTTATTCACAGATATGGTTTTGTCAGATTTTTTCTTTTTTTACTCTTGATTTTGAGCCATGGATTCTACTTTGAATTGGTGCACAGTTTGACAACTTATGCTATACCTATATAATTCCATGGTCAAACGGTGAACTCTGTTTGTGAGATCCAAATGTATATTAAATTTTCTGTTCTAAAGATCGAAATTTTGGTCATGAACCCTGACAGAGAGCATGCGTGGTGACGATGTGATCTTAATTTTACAGACAAGACCTGCTCTTCCAATTCTTCAGCAGCTTATACACTCGAGTGATGAAGAAGTTTTGACTGATGCTTGTTGGGCACTATCATATCTTTCTGATGGCACAAATGATAAAATCCAAGCTGTGATTGACTCTGGAGTATGTCCTCGTTTAGTTGAGTTGTTGCTGTGAGTATTTTTGTTTTATTTATATTTAGTGTTTGGATCGATTTTCTTCATACAGAAGTTTAACTTTTTCTTTAGCTTGCATCTCACGAAAGTGATTGTGCTGTTTCAGTCACCCGTCTCCTTCTGTTCTTATCCCTGCCCTTCGGACAGTTGGGAACATTGTCACTGGAGATGATATACAAACTCAGGTACAATCCATTCCAATCATTTTGATCTCCCCTTGTGGGGTTTCTGTTTGAAAAATGCTGGAACTCGTCATAAAAAGTAGTGTGAAGATTATTTTTGTTGGAGCAAAACAAACAATTTATGAGAAAAAATATAAATCGAACAGAAATAAAACAATATATAAAGCAAAAGTTCTGTTAAAGAGAATCAGAACAATATATATAATGTTGTGTTTACTAGGCATTAAGTTATGAACACATTAATTATAGAGGTCGATCTTCTAATAGCCCTCGATAAGGACTATGGTGCGGAAGACCGTTCATACCCTGCATCTTACATTGATTGTCTGATCTTGCTTTTTGTTGTTCTTTGCTTTTGGGTTTGTGTCTGAATTCTCACAAGCAGGGTGAAAAGTGCTGACTTTTGAATACTTTCTGGGTATAGTTATTCAACATATTTGAGTTTCAACTAAAAAAATGCATTGCCATGGATATTGAAACAGTTTTCGAATCTAATGTGTAGAAAATTGGTTGGTTTTCTATGTTGGAAGGATTACAGCTTTAGAAGGAAAGCTGGAAATCCTGAATTTCATGAAACAACTTCCTAAACAAATCTGTATTCATGAGGCAGTGTTACTGTTTGGTCGTGCTTGTAAGCTTCTAAACATATTATGATTATTCAACATATTTGAGTTTCAACTAAAAAAATGCATTGCCATGGATATTGAAACAGTTTTCGAATCTAATGTGTAGAAAATTGGTTGGTTTTCTATGTTGGAAGGATTACAGCTTTAGAAGGAAAGCTGGAAATCCTGAATTTCATGAAACAACTTCCTAAACAAATCTGTATTCATGAGGCAGTGTTACTGTTTGGTCGTGCTTGTAAGCTTCTAAACATATTATGTGGTAAGCTGCTGGTGGATGCCTGTATCATTTCACGAGAAAGAGAGTAACTACGGAATGGTAATTGAAGAAGATAAGGTAGCTTGATAAAACAAGTTGCGAGACAAAATGATTACAGCTTTAGGGGATAAACTAAGAGAAAGAAGTTTGGGATTGTTTGAACTCTGAACACAATTAAAGAGGAGCACAACCTTCTTTCTTGTTGCTATTGATTAGCATGTAGTGTTAGCAAGTTCAGTGTAGTTATTTTTTGGTAGGCACGAACAAAACTCGAATTTTTAGGTAGCAGTGCACGTGATGTGATGGTACTTGCGGAGGTGACAATGACAACAGCAAGAGCATTGAAGGGTAGTGGCAAGGTTATTTTTTGTTAGAAGAGACTTTTTAGGGTATAGTAATTTGTTTGGAATATTGGGGGAAAAACTAATCAATTTTAAAAGTGGAGTAGTTATTTGCTAATGAGGAGGAATTCTGGAGCGGTGAAATTTATTGATGTTTGAAATTTGGCCAAGGGCATCAGGAAACTAGGCATTTAGTTGTTCAATTGTTCCAATCAGTAATGCTCCTTATATAAGATGAACTTTAGCCGCATCAATAGTTTTGTTTTGTTATAAAACTATAAAAGGTCCTTCTGTGCAAAAGTTATACTTCTGTTGAATTGCAGTTCATATGATATGCACTCAAATGACAATGTCATGTCCTGTAGTGTGCCTGCTTTCTGCTTGAAATTTTGTTTTCTTGTCAAGTCCCAGCTGATCCTTGTAGATCATTGCGCACAGTAATTTTGATTGGTTGTAACCTGCAATGGTTGAGCAGTCTTGTATTTTTACAGTATATCATCAGCTACAATGCACTACCATGTCTTCTGAACCTCTTGAATGGTAGCCATAAGAAGAGCATTAAAAAGGAAGCTTGCTGGACTATTTCAAACATCACAGCTGGAAATAAGGAGCAAATCCAGGTAAATTTGATTCTAGCTTTCAGACTTTGTATTGAGAAATATATCAATTTGATTTGTTTATGCTTCTGCGAAACCTTTTCTGGATTCATGTGGCTGACTTCAAATTCAAAGGGAACAGAAAAGGAGTCCTTGTGTGTTGTTTCTTGTTCTTAATATCAACCCTGAGCTGTGGGTGACACATTTTTGTTACTCTGCAGGCTGTGATTGAGACCGGCATTATCAGCCCTCTGGTTCAGTTGCTTCTAAATGCAGAATTTGATGTGAAAAAGGAGGCTGCCTGGGCAATATCAAATGCAACATCTGGTGGCACTCACGAACAAATTAAGTGTGTAGTCAATTTTCCCTTAGTATCTTAATATT